CCTATTTGTAACAAAGACGGTCTAACAATTCTTTTTTCCTCTATTATTCAGAACAAACTCAACATAACAATTTGTATGAATACTAAACATTATCTAATTATGAACAATATTTGAAATAATTAGGTACTTAAAAACTAATTATCATTGTAATTTCACAAAATTTTGGTAAAAATGATCACTGATGATCACTTTTTAGAGCAGAAATGTCAGCCAATTATACTTAAGAGGTCTATCGTTGAAAAGGGAATAAAGGGCGCTTTCTCAAAAATACATAAAAAAATTTGGGTGGATGTTTAAAAAAATGAACTTGATGATAGTAGCTCGATCACGAAACGTCGGATTTGAAATTTGAAGATGCCTTGTTGTAGAGGGAAAAAAATTATGAAACTTTCAAATTTGAATTGTGTCTCAAAAATCAATAGTTTTCGAAATAATTGATGAAATATTTTTAGGCGTTTCTTAGAAATCACCCTGTAATGTTTTCCCAGCGGTTCTGAGTCTAGGGAAGGAATTCGGACGTAAATGTGCGATGTTGCCACGTTTAATTATAAAAAAGCGACAATACTAGGCATGAAGTATAGTTCATTTGAAAATCCATTTTTTAATAACAAAATGTAGATAACAATAAAACGCTAAATATTTCAACGTGGTTGTTAGATCTATGTTTATTTTAATAACTGATTTCTTCAATTTTGTCTATTGTAAAAAATAAACATTTCCTAAAGAATCCATCAGCTTTTGACAATTTGGCAAGGATCCGGCCTGGATGAACCTGATTGGTGGAGTTTTTGGCAGGATTTCCGTTGCCACGGGCAACCATGCAATTGTCAGTGGGCTAACGTCACCTTACGTCTCGCTATTGGCCAGGGCTCTTGTCATTTTATCCTCCCATCTTGGAATATCGATTTATATTGAAATATCCAGTGGCGGCGGTTTAGTCATTGTCGATTTTCGTGTACGAATTGCAATACGATAACATTTCCAAAAAGTTCCGCACGCAGCTGGGTATTTTATGAATGGAATCAGCCATTTTTTTTTACAACTGCATTCCCCTTACCGTTGCCCCGTAGACACAGAGTCGCTGGGCAGACATTATTTCATAAACTGAAAAGAATTTGGCAATACTGTAAACGAGTCTTGGATGGGCATGAAAAAATGCAACTTTGTTCTAATTCAACCGACCTTGTAGCTCTTACCATTTCGGATATAGCAATTAGCAATACTGGTATCATTTAAAATATACACCCCGTATGTATATACATATATATAATATAACTTACAAGCTATCTAGCATGTTTTCATTGAAAACATTCAATAAAAATTCACTAGAACCTTCAGCAGCAAACTTCAACAATTTCTATTATCTTTCGTGGTGTCCACTGGCGGCCATTTTGGAAAATCGCCGCCACGGCCGCCAGAGGGCAGTTGGCCGATGGCTCGACTCCACATCTAAATTCAAATTTGGTACCTTTATCAAAAAGTGCACAATGGGTTAGCTAATCCGCTGTACTATTATGACTATGTTAAGAAAATTTTTGCAGTAATATATCGAGAGATAGTTGAACTATGAATCGGCTACAAATTTCTTAATTCCTAATTTAATTTTTCAGTTCAGCCAATTTTTTTGTATTTGAACTATGAATCGGGGGTGATAAATAGGCAACACATAATTTATTTACATATTGACTTATCTCTCTCTAGCTCATTGTTTCTTATGGAAAAACGGAATTAATTTTTTTTTCTCCAAAACTATAGAAGGTAAAGGTATAAAACCTTATATCATTGAAATCAGCTCACAAAGAGCTATTCAATAAAAAAATAATATACGGGGTGTCCCATTTAAAAAAACACAACTTTGGTCAATATTCCAAAATCGAAGGCATCCAGAGAAAAATTGGTCATGCCACTGGATTCTCTTTGAAAAACTGCCTATAGAAAGTATTTTTCGTTTTTGGATATCTTGATTAATAAAGAAATTAGCAGGTCTTTTAAAATTGTGCAAAATTTGAAAAGTGCCCTGTATTTCCTAAACGCATCAAGTTAGTCGTGATTTGTCTTCGCCATTGTTATTTTCTCAAAAAAAAGAGCTCGAGAATGTGCTCCCAGATTTTTGGTATCTCTGCTGGTTTTCGATATAGCCTATTAAAACATCGAAAATGGGCCACCCTGTACATGCAGGATGCAGGTTGTAAAATAATTTACTACACTAAGTATATTATATTATAAAAAGCTAATTTAACCCCTTAGATTTTTGCACATACAGATTGCTTGTAATTTAGGTGCAATAACTTATTTGAGTAGCTCAAATTCTAAAGTGATATTTATTTAACTTATTGTAAACCTATTGTTATTTCTCTGAATAAATTTATTATTATTATTTTTATAAGCAATTTTTATTTAAAGATAACCTAGGTATTTATTTATTGAACAAATCTTATCGAATTTACCTTATCGGTTTTTATTGCAAGCTTGCTTTGAATATTTTATAAATTGAATCAGCAAAAAAATTCTGATAAGTAAAGGTATTATATTGTTCCATAGACCATTTTTATGTGTTTATATGGTATATTAGGAATCAGAAGAAAAAAATAAATAATTCTACAGTGTGTCCCGCTTAAGGACTGACCACCCTTCTAAAATTTTTATTTTACAACCGATTCAATTCATTTTTGTTTGTCTTGTAACTACTCGAATATGGCACTTATTAGGCTCATAATTTTATTTCTACGGCTGCACTGGTTTACAGGGTGTCCACATTTATAGGCTCAAATTTCAATTAGTACTATTAGGGATTTTTTTAGAAAAAATCAGTTAGCAGATTCATGTTTAGAATGGTCTAAAACCCTAATGTACGAATTTTTGATCCAATAGGATACAGGGTGATCACAACAAATTTTCAAAATTTAATGGACCAAACCGGAAAAATTTCACATTTTGAGACAAGCTTACTACAAGTTTTGGTTAAGGATGTTCTAAAACTATGTTGTATCAAGTTTTGTTGTTCTCATGGCCTCAAAATATAAAATTTTTCCGGTTTGGTCCATTAAATTTTGAAAATTTGTTGTGATCACCCTGTATCCTATTGGAACAAAAATTCGTACATTAGGGTTTTAGACCATTCTAAACAAGAATCTGCTATCAGATTTTTTCTAAAAAAATCCCTAATATGTAGTACTTATTGAAATTTGAGCCTATAAATGTGGACACCCTGTAAATCAGTGCAGCTGTAGAAATAAAATTATGAGCTTAATAAGTGCCAAATTCGAGTAGCTACAAGACAAAAAAAAGTGAATTGAATCGGTTGAAAAATAACAATTTTAGAAGGGTGGTCAGTCCTTAAGTGGGACACACTGTATATTCATAAAAAGGATTTTCCTCTAATATGTTATACATCGCTGTCCCAAATTTTTTAGAAATCTAAATTCTCTATTTCTTGAAGCAGGGCCTTGTATAGTTTTATTTATTCATCTCCCTGATTCATGAGCTGATTCAATATCAGGCAAAATAATGCTCCACTTGAAACAAGTTCCATTTTTAACACAATCAAGCACTACTAGGTAATTAAAAGACAAAGGTCTCAGAGTATGTAATGTGCCAGTGTAAACGCTCACATAAAGTCAAGCAGTAAGTCATATGACGACTACATTCGCCCCCTGTCCTCCCTGTCTCCTTTTCGGTTGCCGCCCAGCTTTCATTCTTCATTCTCCATACCGCATCAGCTTTGTTTAGAATATAAGATTATAAACCTCTATTTAAGTAGTTTTTTTTTGTGTGTAATTTAATAATTTAAGTGGGTAATATATTAATATATTAATTAGGAATAATCACAGGGCAGCTTCGCATAGGCACCATGGTGCAATATGTAAGCGGTTTTTATAATCGAGAATATGTCCTTTTTGTCATGAAATTATCTAAGTATTCAGTTTATGTTATTATATTTAGGTTGTTGGCAAATAAATGCTTTTGAATTTGAATTTGAATTTGATATGACAACTGTAATAACCGAGGTAATCATTATGAGTTCTTATTATAATTTATTGGATGTTTGAATTGTTCTCCTTTCATAATATGGTTCTTCCCCTTCCCTTGAGAAGTTTTGTTAAGTTTTTTAGGATCAGTTCGTAGAGCATTAAAATTTTCTCAAAAATTTAAAAATCCCTTGTTTTCATAATCAACTACAAAATCTATATAGTTTTTCCTCTCAGTTCATTTTCTATTTTTTAAAATCATACTTTGATATTTCCTAGCTTTGGCAATTAGTAGCCAGTTTAACTTTTCCAAAATTTTCATTTATGTTGCTCTATCAACAAGATAAGGCAAAATCACGATATTATTTGAGCCCATATTCACCTATGTTTATATTTTTTGTTCATTTTGATGGGATAATGATGAAACTCTAGATATATACTATTTGACAAAAAAAAAAAAAAAACGAATCACCCATTAAAAAACAAATATTTACTTCTATTGGGGTGATGTGCTTTTTTTGTCACACAGTATAAAATTGCCTGGAGAATTGAGATGAGAATCAAGCTTTGTCAATTAATTGTTGGAACCCACTCATATTTGAAAATTGTGGCAAATTGTTTCAGTCACATCTACTCATCTTGCCACTTGGTGGGTAGGTACTGCCTGATATCCTGTTGAAAAAATAGAAAAAAAATACAGCATTTCAGCTGCTGTTTATGGAAAACGGATTGAGGTTGGCTTTGGTACTCTTCTTTATGACAGGACTAGCTATATGAAACTTTAATGACTTACAATTAATTGTCTTCGTATGTATGTGTAATTTTTTGTATGTATCTGTAATCTTACTTTTTAGGATTTTTCCTCAGTTTTTTCTAACTTTCTTTTTCATATTTCTCAAGCTTCAAGGATATTTTATATTTCAATAACATTTACGCGAGCATTTAGGCATGCAAATCAGGAACACATTTCCTCGAGATACCAATTTTTAATGTTTCATTAATAAATATTATCTAATTATGTCTTTGTTACAGTTCTGTCCTACCTATGGTGGACCAGGAGTTTCACCAGGTAATTATGATTCCCGGGCAAGTTGGCCAGGTGGACCACCATCAGGGGCGCCTCCGCACTCCCAACATGGCCCTGGCAGTCCCGGTCAGCCACAACCTCTTCCTCAGCAACCCCAAAATCAACCACCAAGTTCACAACCCCAACAAAATTTATCTAGCTCTGTGCCTGTAAGTCAACCTTCACCCCAATCCACACAGCCACCCATAAGTCATTCACCTGGCCCAGGACCTGGAGGTCAACTGCCTCCCAGTCCACAACAACACAACCATCAGCATCAACAACTATCTGGACATCAACAAGGATTTCCAAGTCGACCTCCTCCACCCACAACTCCAAATGCGCATGCTCCAGATGCAGCGGTAAATTGTTTTACTTGATTTAATTTTTCAAATCTAAGATAGTAATACCTTGTTTTATGTATTTTATTTATTACTTGGTTTTTATGATTTATTTTGATTTCAATTTTAGGATCTGAGCGGAGGTAACAGTAACGATAGTTCAGGAGGACCAGCACCTGGAACCCCAAATTCTCAGGGTATGCGACCAACACCCTCGCCAACAGGTTCAACAGGGTCTAGGTCAATGTCACCTGCAGTCAGTAAGTTACTAGATTGTTACACTGTTTAGATAACTTGGGTTTCTAAGTTCATTGTTTGTAAGACCATGCAAGAACATGCATATTTTGGAATGGTTTTAATAGTTGTTGTTGAAAAGCTTTATAATTCATTTATTTATTTATTTACGGGTAACCCCCCATTAACAGTTTTAATATCTAACAAAAATGGTTATGACTCCAAAATTGTTATGAATTAAATCTGAAAATATATAACACTTCAGTTCCATTGACATTCTAAAAAGTAATCCTATCTAGTTGATTTTTAAACTGAGATAATGTTGAACCAAATATCTTTATGTGATAATTATTAATTAACTTGCAAAATCTATCCATTGGAGAGTTTAGACCATAGTTAGTATGATGATAAGGAATGTTAAAAGACACGAAATGGCCTATTCTATTTCTAGTCGGTGTGTCTACAGGGTGTTTCAGAAATGGTGTTACAGACTTCAAGGGCAGATAGTATTAATGTAAATAATTAAAAAAGTTCCTATGGGTATACGTCCGGAAACGCTTTGATTCCAAGATACAGGGTGATACGTTTTTCAAAAAAACATAGTTTTTGTTATTAATAGCCCAAAAGAGCTTTAGCCCATTTCAATGAAATATTCACGGTTTATTTCAACCATTATTAGACATCTACTGGACCAATTAGATTTGATCGAGAATTCCCAGGGGCGTACCCAGCAACCAAGTCGGTTGTTTTTGTGCGGAAAAAAATATCACTCTGTAGTTTTTGTGCGATTTTTATTGATTATTCAGATAGACACGCTAAAAATACAACATTTTTGTATCCTAAATTTTTCAATTATCTCGCTTCGTTTTCGCGGAAAAATTACAATACCATACCTCCGCACGTCTCTGGATTCCATAAGGAAAGATAAAAATTCATAGGAATTAAGGTACATCACCCATTCATTGAGTGACAAAGACATCAATTCCATTTGAGTTTTTTTTTTGTTTTCATAAATCAACAAACTCCCATAAATTTTTAATCAATTCTTAAGCATTTTTATTTTTTCTTATAGAGTTCAGAGACGTGCCGAAGTATGGTATTGTAATTTTTCCGCGAAAGCGAAGCGAGATAATTGAAAAATTTAAGAGACCAAAATGTTGTATTTTTAGTGTGTCTATTTGAATAATCAATAAAAATCGTACAATAACTACAGAGTGATATTTTTTCTGCACAAAAACAACCGACTTGGTCGCTGGGTACGCCCCTGGGAATTCTGGATCAAATCTAATTGGTCCAGTAGATGTCTAATAATGGTTGAAATAAACCGTGAAAATTTCATTGAAATCGGCTAAGGCTCTTTTGGACTATTAATAAAAAACTATTTTTTTTTGAAAAACGTATCACCCTGTATCTTGGAAACAAAGCGTCTCCGGACCTATATCCATAGGAACTTTTTTAATTATTTTCATGAATACTATCTGCCCTTGAAGTTTGTAACACCATTTCTGAAACACCCTGTATATTCACGCATATTAGGCAGCATAATTGATTATAACATTGACCACCAAATAATAAAATGAATCTCTGTTAATTATTTCAAATTATCTTCAGGTCAAAACATTCCTATGCCGCCGCGGCCATCTAGTAGCCAATCAGATGGCGGTAGCGGTGGTGGTAATGGGGGAGGGGTACCTCCAAAGTTGAGCCATTCACCAATGCCCCCTGGGCCCACAGGGTATGGACCTCAGGGTCAACAACCGCCACATCCTGGTCCTTACAAGGGGATGGTACCTATGTCAGGTGGGAATCCAAACTCACCGCAAATGTCACTATATCAACATCAACCAGTACAGTATCCAGCTGGATATCCAGCCCGACTACCTGGAAGTGTAAGTAGAAACCTTATGAAATTGAAAAATATTTCTCATTGGAAAACTTGGAACTATTTCTTGCTCTGCCTTTCTTGAATTTTATTGCTCATTTTAGATTTTTTTGCAGTATGGGCCAGCTAGTCAAGCATATGGACCATCATCAGGTTGTCCATCGCCTGGTCCAAATCTGCGACCACCACATTACCTCAAACACCACCTCCAACATAAAATGGGTTTTGCAGGAGTAGGGCCTGGGTCAGCACCGCCAAGTCCAGGTCCTCCTCAAAATTTCCATATGGGGCCACCTTCAGGTCATCATCATTCTGGTATGGGACCACCACCATCTATGGGCCCACCAAATATGCCAACTTCTAGTAACCCTATGCTCACAAATAATCATCCACATGAAAGTCCTATGCCCCCACCAAGTTCGACTCCAAATTCTCATGTTCAAATGGTAAATGAAATAATTGATAATGGTATAACCACTACTCCGCAAAATACCATGAATACGCATGTAACAGCTACTTCTGGGGGTTCAGTTACTTCAGTTGTCACAACAGGACCTGATGGGGCACCCATTGATGAAGGTTCACAGCAATCTACGTTATCAAATGCATCAGCTGGTAAGCAACTAGAAATTGTATTTTACAAATAAAATGTTTAAGACTGTTGTGATTTAAATTCTTGTCAAATTTATCTCCACTGCAGTGCAGTGAACTAGGTAGTGGTAACTTGAGACAAAGAATTTGCAAAACTAATATGGAAGTTTTATAAGTCAAATTAAACCTTTATACTAGTTTTTAAAATCATTTGGAAGAGCTAATTTCTCAAAAAGAAATACATATAATAATAGTCTAATATTTCATTAGCATAAAAATTAAATACCAATATAAAATGAGGGATAGCTAATATTGGGTCTTTTCTTGCATTGTTATAGTTGATTAAATTAGTATCATTGAAAAAAAACTACCTAGAAGTGTATTTACACATTGACCAGATAGATAGGCAAAATGAAATTGGTTGATAGACCCTTATGCACTTGTAACAATGAAGATTAAGATGATGATGTAAATAACTAGTTTTCTAATTGCTACCATCCATTTTCTCCCAATGTATCCACAGTGTTCAATGACGATTATTAGTAGAGGAGATCGACTTTGTAGTAATTTTATGCAATTTGTGAGGATTTGTATGAGAAAGGTTGGGGGTATCAAAACTCCCCTTTCATACTTTATCTTATCCTTTGGTCCATGCCTTTCTTGCCAATGGAAAAAGTCACCCAGATGGACTACTGGGGTGTGAAGCGTGTGCCCCTGTCTTATTTGCAGTGTTTTTCTTGTTTTTGATGGAATTGTTTAATTAAGGGGTGTGGAGGTCTCATTACTACTAGCTATTTTAATTTAGAAAAAATGGTAGAATCTAAGAAAAGATTTTCAAGTATATTTATTTACTTGTATTTTCCACTAATTAATTTGATAAAATTAACATGTTTCACTACACTGTAGCTTCATCAGAAATGACGGTAATTATTTTATGTTAGACATAAAAATTTAGACCGTTTACTAAACGACCAATAAGATTTGAACAATTCACCACTTTTAAATTTATTTTCATAATACCTATTTAGATTAACATAAAATTAGACCAGCTTTTACCTTTTTTATATTTGACAATTTCACTTTTATGTCTTAACATAAAATAATTACCATCATTTCTGATGAAGCTACAGTGTAGCGGAACATGTTAATTTTATTAAATTAATTGGTGGAAATATAAGTAAATACGAGAGTAAATAAATATACTTAAAAATCTTTTCTAAGATTATGAATTTCCACCCAGTAGAGGCCCATTCAATACAAATAGTAGAATCAATTAATGAATAACAGACATATAAATAAAGAAAGTAAACGATTTTGGGAAGATAGATGCCTAGTTTGAGATTTCTTAATTTGTAATAAATATCTGATAGATCTCCAATCACTATGTAAGTATCAAGACTTTTATAAACAGAATCTCACAATTGGCTCTGATGTATCTTGGTGGAAAAGTTTTTTATAAGCATTTTTTTATTTCAGCTTCAGGTGAAGATCCCGCTTGTCCACAGACTCCAAAGTCTAACAGAAAAAATGACATGGGCCACTACAGCCATCCATCCACACCTCAAGGATCCGTATCACAAGATGATTATGGAGAAATAAATAGTCCCGGCTGGCCACGCACGCCTGCTAGTCCGGTGAGTCAAAAAGTATGACCTTATTTATTATCAAGTTTTATTCAGTTATATCATTTATGAAAAGGAAGGAGTATGCTTCAGAAAAAATAAAGTTTCCTAATAATACACCTTCATTTTCTTTATTCCTATTGACTGTTTTAAATATGTCGATTTGAAATTATATCTGCTATATAAACAATAATATATTTTTAAGAAATCAGGCTTTTGTGTCCAACAGTCATTCTATGTTTAAAAAAATATATTGGTGTTTCTATCACAGATTTTTGGGAAAAGTGTAGTTGTGTCCCGTTTTTTCTTTGGTGTTTTCTAAAGTTTCTGATCTTTTTATACACCATCCTTTTTTTACAAATAGGTATTCATGTAAAAAAAATACTTGCCAAAATTAAATATTGAAAAAATAGTGAATCCTTCCTAATATGCGTTTTTAATTTTTTAAAAAGTCAACAGAAATATTTTTTTAGGAAGTACCTATATTTTTTTTTTTTTAATTGAAAACCATTTGATAATTATTATTTATAATATCACTCCAAAGTATTATTTATTACTTACTAAATATGACATTGGAAGAGATGAATCCCAGGATAAATCTAAAGGGTGTACCAATAGCAGTGATAGAACTTTAATTTTGAATGAAACACGAACCAATAAGTTAGAAAAATAAATTGTGTATTTATCGAAAACATATTTTATGCCATTTATGTTTTGAACAGAACATCATTTGAATGTCATCCGCTTGATGCCCTGCAGACACAGGCAGAAATGGGCTTCGTCGTTAAAGATGATTTTCTTCGAAAAATCTTCGTCGGCGACGGAGCCCATTTCTGACTCAATGGGTACGTCAACAAACAAAATATGCACTATTACCACTATTGGTCGTGCGTACGATTTGTCTGAATCGGTAGCGTTAGTGCGGTGCAGTTATGTTTTGGAATGCAACCATCTAAACTACACCGGAAAATGGAATGCTGAACAGTACAAATGGTGTAAAAAGTGCGACATTATTGACGGGTCAGGGTAAAAAGTGTCAGTAGTTCGGACTTATCGTACGCACCACGGGTAGAAAACAATTCCCGACAAGTGCTAGAGAAACAATTATACCCCCCAAAAAGTTGGGTGCGATTTTGTGGGTTGGCCGCATTATTATTGGCACGAGTCATGAGAAATTGCACCCATAGTATACGCGTTTGCCAGGGCATCAAGAGGATGACATTCAAATGATGTTTTGTTCAAAACATAAAGGGCATAAAATATATTCTCGATAAACACACAATTTATTTTTCTAACTTAAAAGGTTCATGTTTTATTCAACATTAAAGTTCTATGACTGCTATTGGTACACCCTATATATATAAATTTGTCAAACAAATCCTTACTGATTATTTACCTACTTATGTATTCAATATTTTGCTACAATTTGGCATTTCAAATTAAAGTACAATTTTCTATAAAATAGAATGAAAATTGATTGAGAAATTGATGTTTTAATATCAAGGGTGTATAACTTGTATCAGAAAAATATTATAATTAAAAAAAAAACATAATTTCTGAACTGTTTGTTGTTATTCTTTATTTGTAAAAGTCGTTTTGAAAGTTTTCATTGTTTCTATTAGTCCAGCAAAGTTAGCCTGTTTTGCGTAGCACATTTTCTCCTTATTTGTGGTATTTGTGATTTTCCCGATCCTACGTAAATGCACTTGTATTTGATGGTTTTTGTCTCATTTTTTTTTTTAAAGTTCATTGATTTCATTCACAATGGGTTATCAAATTTCAATGTACAAATAAAACCTGAATGGTGGCTAATTTCCACTACAAAATAATATACATATGCCTATTTTTTATGAACTGATGAGTGGCTCATTCTTATTGTTCAATTAAACTTATGGTAAGTACTTTAAATGTACAGTCAAACTAATAAAAAAAAAGTACTTAAGTATTTTTCAACAATAATTTTAAAATTCAAAGATATGTCTTTTTTTCCATGATAGTATTTTCTTTAGGAAGAATTATAATTTTACATTAAAATTTAAGTTATCTTATATTGTGTTTAATGGTATAGTGGTTCGCAAAAGAAGTTGCATTTATTTAGTTCTCAAACATATTATAGACACTAATATGATATTTCTTGTTTAGGTGGAGTAAGAGTTAATTAGTTTCAGTTCTGGGGTTTTAACTCTATGAGTAGTGGGCTAAGAGGCAATTTTTTTGATGAAACATGTTTATTATGCTGCAGGCTAAGTGGTGACCTTTCCAGGTTTGCTTGACATGTGAAACACTTGCTTTTAATAGTTCCATTATAAGTCAGTCACAGCAGAACTCGCCCACTTATTGTTGTAGGACATACATTTTTCCAGCTAAATAGAATTTTAATCTTTAATCTTTTAAAAACATGTTTTGATAATTATTTGAGCTAACTAGCGAGTGTTTCCAGGTGTTTAACAGTCATGTGCCCCCACAGGATACATATCGCTCAAAGGTTTATATACACATGATACTATTATTACAGTTAGTCTTACTAAAAGGCTTGGTGCTGCATGTTTAAGCATGGTTTATTTAGAGTTCGTGCATGGTATAGATCCTAACTGACCAATATTTTAGTTTTGGACTTTACTCTCATAGCTATCATTTTGTATACATAATAAATGGGATGGGTAACTTCTAGGGTTGGTACTTTTCTTCTTGATTACGTAATAAATTCGTCAAATCATCAAATTAATAACGGGTCGTAAAGACTTTCCCATATTCAAAACGCTGATTTATTTAATATAAGAGATTTGTGTACCAAGAGCAAAAGTACGGGTTCTAGTTCTTGGATTATGGTGCATATTCAATAAAAGCAAATCGCCAATTTTTTAAACTTATTGTCTATTATTTTTTCAAGGGGTTAAGGTTGTCACGCTGGTGTATACTGGCCCCTGAGATCATGCTCCCTGCATGCTATAAAATCGGACAAAACTAAATATTTGGGATGGCCCTTTTCCATATTTATTACCTTTTTTGAAGGGTTAGTTTGAGCATTAAAAAAAAAATGCCTATCCAAAAGCTCTGTTTTGCAAAAACATTTTTAAATTGTTCTGGTTTATTTTAAAAAGTCGAATGATTAACGAGGGGCATTTATTGCGCAAAATTTATCAATTATTTTATATGAACTTTTCATCATAAATACTTACCATTTGCTTTCAACGTACTAATACAAATTTGCAGAGTGCTCCAAATGTCAAAGAAGGAAGCCTTAATATGATTACAGTGAAAATCTTGAAATATAGTGAAACTTTTGGAAATCCCTGCAGATGAAACTGCGTTTGTTTTGAGTTTAACTTCATGGAAGAAATTTAACTTATCAAATTAACTTTTTTGTGAGTTTAATATTTTTGGCGATTTGTATTTTAAAAAATTAAAGATTCGTTTTATTGGTCAGTTGACTCAAACTGTCCATTTTCTTTGTAGTTTTTATTCTTATTACAAGTTCCATAATTACAAGACATACTTAGTAATAGAATAGCCTCATATTTCACTTTGATATATTGCATTTCTGCTTCTCATTGTGAGCTTTATAGTTTTTAATTATTGAATGGGGTTGCAATAATTAGAAATATTTATTCAGGTAATTATGGTTCCTGCTTATTTCTTGTGAAGTTTTCTTTGATAAAGAATAAAGAAATTAGAAAATGGACAGGTCAGTAGGTGAACTAATCCTGCATTATAGCCACTTAGAATTTTTATTGTGTGATCTGTTAATTGTGACCGCTGGGCGTGGTGTAATTTCAGAAAACGGACAGTCTTGGCAAGCTATATGAAATGGATGAGAGCCCTGACAGAAGGGGATGGCTTGATAAACTTTTGGCTTTTATGGACGATCGAAGAACCCCTATTACAACCTGTCCGACAATATCCAAGAATCCCCTTGATTTATTTCGCTTGTATATGTTTGTTAAGGAACGCGGGGGCTTCATGGAGGTTCGTACCTGTCTGTTCGACATTATGTTTTATCTTAACTGTTACAACCGATGTGACTGCATGGTTTATTTGTTAAGTGTATTTTTTTATGTATATTTTCTTTAATATTGTTGGATTAGCTCACATAAGAACATAAATATATTATTATGAAAGGAGTAACATCTTAAGGTGTAAACCTCAGTGGTCATAACGGTAGTAAAGACTCATTATAACTGAATTATGTTTCATCTCTGTTGTCATCATCAAGCACAATTTTGAGTATAAATTATATATTAGGTAATAACCAAAATACAAACGAATTAGATTAAATTTAATTTGATCCAGGCTTTTTAAACTTGCTTATCTTTTTGTCACTATCGTTCTCAATCCACCTTCCAGGTAACGAAGAACAAAACCTGGAAGGATATTGCCGGTCTTCTTGGCATTGGTGCATCTTCAAGTGCAGCCTACACCCTTCGTAAACATTATACGAAAAATTTGTTGGCTTATGAGTGCCAATTTGACCGGGGCGGTATAGATCCGCAACCTATTATCAATCAAGTGGAAGCCAGTAGTAAGAAAAAAGGAGCCAAAGCTACATCTGTTCCATCGCCAGGATCTTCTAATTCGCAGGACTCATTTCTTCCCAGTAGTAGTGCTGGATCTATGGATGGTTATGGCGGTTACAATGGGTATCCGCCTTCAGGAAACCCGGAATACCCTCAAAGACCTCCTTCACAATCTGCACCATCGCCACTTGCAGGTAAGGCCTATTTTGATTGTAGTAAAAAGGAGTTCAAACACATTTTATTATCTTTTTTCCTATCACCCTAACTCTATCCTATTTTTATATGCAAAATTTTATACATAATACATCACTTTTTTTTCATATTTGAAGGTGATAGGTAGCTATTTTGAGACATATGGAAACGCAAATTTCTAACTTTCTGAAATTGCCGACATTTCGACTTTGATTACTTAAGTCTAGGCTATTCCAAAATAATAGTCGAAACATCAGCAATTTCAAAAAGCTAGGAATTTCTGTTTTCAGTTGTTCCAAACTCGCTATCTACCAACTACACTTATATAGGGACGCTTATTGTTTATACCGAAAACGTACCTATATCTTGAAAATAAGCAACTCACGATTATTGAAGTATTAAACTATGGTGACTAATTTTATGCATTGAAATTGGGTTCACTTCCATAAAGATGTCATATAAGTGTAAGCCCTTCACCTTATTTTAATAAATTTTTGTTTTAATTTCACATCACACAGAAAAAAAAATCAGAGATTGAACTGATGATATAAAGAAATAAATATGCAAGATCCACAAACTTAGTGGTTTATTTCAATGAATTTTTTAGTTTCGTGAATTCACTACGTAAAGTAGTTTATCTGATAAAATAGTTTTCACTAGCTCAAAAATACAATAGAAATGCAAAAACGAAAATGAGGCTGTACCTTCTCTAAAAAAAAATGTTTTTCAATGTGACCCACCTACACAGCCATCAGTAATTTTTTTACTCTGTAGGAAAAATACCTAACAATTTGATTGACTAGCAATGATTTTCTAGTTGCTTCTAACCAAAAAACTATGTATTAAAATACAGGATGAATTTTTTATTTTTTAAATGGAATAAATTCAGTATCAGAAAGCCTGTTTATTTTCTGGAAAAATTTAAAAAAAAGGGGCCCTTTATTTTTAGTTTGGCACATTTTTTCGGCCTTTTCATGGAAATTACCCCTCTCTTAAGGGTAGAAACCACGGTAGAATGGGCATAAAAAAAGGAAAATTACCCATTATTTACTTTTGCATTTCGGTGATCTAAAAAGCGAGAAAAAAATAATAACATATTTTTTCACCCAATTTTTTTACAGGTAAAATTGTTGAACATCTTCAGCATTTTTTTTTCGTAGAACCCTAATGCGAAACAAGCCCCATTTGTAACATTATGTAATTATTTCTGACGTTAACACACTATTTGATGCCTGATACTCGAATTCTCAACCCTAAAATAATCTGTTAATGTCAAAAATAATTACATAACTAGATCACCGAAATGCAAAAGTAAATAATGACTAATATTCCTTTTTTCATGCCCGTTCTAACGAGCTATCACAATACATATCTTTACATTTGAAAAAAAAAAGTTGGGGTTGGTTTCTACCCTTGAGAGAGGGGTAAATTCCATGAAAAGGCTGAAAAAATGTGCCAAACTAAAAATAAAGGGACCCATTTTTTTTAATTTCCCCAGAAAATAAACAGACTTTCTGATACTGAATTTATTCCATTTAAAAATTCCACCCTGTATAATAGTTCGCACTGCCGGGATGAATAAAATCTAATCCCCTCTGTACAAATGAAATTTCAGTTTAAATAATATAGCCTGTTATCTAAATTTCTTTAATGTTTTTCAGAAACAGGCTTAAATTTCAAATAGCAGATAAATGGCTTTAAACACCAATAGTATCACTCCTCGCAACTCGATATATACACAGATATGTAATCAACACACAATATTTGGCTGCTAACAAAATAAATCCATAGAAATTTCTTATCACAATATTCCGCCTTTAATTAATTTTATCATTTAGCAAATAGTATATTGGATCTTGAAGTTGAAACTGTTTTTTTCTCGATAAATTGTTACTTGATGCCCGGGTCGGAGAACTTTCTTAGTCCACCCTGTACCATCAGCGCATTCACAACGTTTTTGCACAGTAAACAATAATTTGTTCGTTCCCAGCTAGAAATACCACACCACGCGATTTTCAATGCATTTGCCGGTTAGTTACGAATTATGTTTCGCCTTGTTAAAAGGAAAATAATATGTATGAAGTGTATAGTGATTTGCATTCCCAAAACTTTCAACATTACTGGCGAGGTACTAAATTTTATTTATTATTTAAAATTTGTTAAACCTATTTATTATAGTCATGTAGGTGGTAGGTTGAATAAAATATGAAGTGTGCATGTTTAAATTAGGTTGCAATCTACATGCGGCTTATGTGGAATTATTTAACGGTGTTATCTTGCGAATCAGGCGTTTTCTGTGGTTTCTTATTTGTGCCTTTCTATAAATTTTACTTACAAGTTTATTTTTTATATTTCGGCTACTAAATATTTTTGGATTAAACATTTCCCATGCTGGAATGACAAATACTGATAAGGTATCTTGTAATCAGGGTGAGCTTGGTTACAAAGATAAGGTAAAACGACAGTGAGGGATTCTTATTATTTTATGTGGGCTCTTTATTCTAAATGTCGTACTCTCATATATTTCGAAGTTTTTGAAGTATCCTAACAGGTTTCGTGTGTGTCCAAGATATGGATGGGATAGCATTAGGATCGGGATAATGGTTAGAGTTACAATCATGGTTAGATTTGGCAAAAGTTGGACAATTTGACTACCTTTTACATAAAGTTCGTAGGATTGGGCTTTCTTTTCTCCGATTTTTTTTTTCTTCAAAAAAGTTATTTTTTCGATTTTGGCTTTTATTTATTTATGACGTTATTCTGACAGATATCAAAAAATAAAAAACGCTTTTCCATTTTCACATTTTAGGGCCAACAAGATGGCGTTCACCTATTTTCACTGCAACGTTTCGTTTCTTAGAAACCATCATCCACTTTTTTGTTTAATGTGGTCCTGTTATTTTTATTACAAAATTTGATGCCATTTAGAATCCTGCATCAGGTGATATTACACTTTGTAATGGTTTGAATATGACTTTTTAATTTCTTTTAGCCATATTTTAAAATAATTTAGGAGAAACCTCCTGAGTACGGCTTTGAATGCTTCAAAAATATGTATTGGGGAAAATTTTTCAACTATTTCTTTCACTGTTGTGGCGTTACTGGCAAATAATTTTTTAAAGTTCAATTTTTGTGTCACATTTCTTATATCAGCTTATTATTATTAATTGGTTTGCCTAAAAAATAGAAGATTTAGGGACTGGAGACATTGGCTGGTCATGTTCTGGTGTTGTTACCATTTAAATCAAACTTTTTCTGATAAAACCCCTGTTTGTCATAGTAATGACAAGGACTCAATTATAATTATTAGGTTGTAGAATGTTGATATTTTTAGGTTTTTAAACTAAGTTTTACAAGAAGAAGCGTTGGAAACTATTGCTATAAACTGCACAGCTCTTGTTTTGAAGTTTCATATATACAGGGTGTTTCACGATCTATTTGTTGACCCCGGCGTTTTAGGGTATTTTAGGATCGATTTAAAAAAAAAAAAAACGCTCGGGCACATCATTTTTGTATTCAAGGGGAAAACTTTTTGATCCTATTTATATTTCGCTAGGATGCACCCCCTGGGTGGGGTAACTTTCAGTCCTCTTTTTTAGGTAGGGAAGATGGGTCGAGTGATACCTTGTTTTAAAGGTATTTTGATTCTTGTCACAACTGCATATTTTTTTTGAAAATCGAATGATTAGTTCTCAAGATGTTCACTGTCAAGGTTGCCATGGACTAAATAAGAATAAACAATCTTCTGGCCCTGTTATTCTCAAATTAACACTTTCCTGACTTTCCTCTCGGACTCGTCAGTTTTTATTTTTTGTGTGCTTCTGAAAAAATTAAAATTGACGTGTCTGAGAGAAAAGTCAGGAGTGTTAATTTGAGATTAACAGGGCCAGAAAATTGTTTCTCATTTAGCCCATGGCAACTTTGACAGTTAATATCTCGAGAACTAATTATTCAATTTTCAAAAAAAAAAAAAAATACGCATCAGTTGTGACGAGATTCAAGATACCACTCGATCCATCTTCTCTATCTAAAAAAGACGGGTGAAAGTCAACCCATCCAGGCGGTGCACCCTAGCGAAATACCGATTAGGTCAAAAACTTTTCCCCTTGAATACAAAATTGACGTGTCGGAGCGTTTTTTTTTTTAAATCGACCTTAAAATACCCCAAAATGCCTCTGTTTCGATGTTCGTGAAACACCCTGTATGCTCCTGCACAGCCCCAGAAAGGGATACAATTCCTAGCATGAGACTCAAATAGGGAATGGTTACTATCAATTATAACGCCCAAAATTTTATATTCATTCAGAGGCTGAATTGTTCCGTCTTCTACTCAAAGGTTTAGAGTTGTTTTGTTTTTAAAAACAAGATGTTTCACTTTAATTCAATGATAATTTTTGTTCAATCAAACCAGGTTTCGATTTTTCAAGTCCTCCCTAATCTCTCCGTCCATTTTGTTCTTGTTCCCTGATGACCAAGTAATATGCTATCAAAACATTTAAAAACACTCCTTATAGGAAGATGAGATACATACAACAGAACTCTGAGGTACTTTGTAGATTGTTGGAGCAGGGCATGATCTTCACCCTTCCAGTGTTTTCCCTGATCGGTGTTACTTGGAATCAGTTTTTGAGATATGTCTGAAACCACAGCACAACCGTAGTCCATTAGATATTTTAAAAATTATTATTCTCAATAAGGAATCTCTTTATTGAGTTTAATTTTTTTATGGCGTTGGTCCCTAGATGCTTTTCCCTCAATTTGATTCAGCGAAAAAGGAGAATCATTTCGAAGGACCACACACAAATAACATTGAAAAGTGGTTTCGGTGAAATTGCTTGAATTTTTGGTATGTTGCACTTTCTACCCCCTTGTTTAATTTTCCAAAAAAAAAAAATAGGGGGTTGATTGGATGGTTTCGCCGCTACGAGGAAAAAAAGTTGCGCGAGCAATTAAAAAAAAAAGACCCGCACCATATTGCAAATACCTGCAAGGTAATAATCAG